GCCCCCCAAATAAAAAAAAATATTTTCCCAGAATCAGGGTAAAAATACCTACCTCTATAAAAAATCCGAAAGCTTTTACTAATCTAGAGTTGTTCCTCAGTCGGTTGTGCCAACGGACTCCCATTAATTGGGGCATTTATTGACTTTTGGAGGATTTTTTAAAAAACCGGTTCCAAAAAATTAAGCATTTCGATACAACTTCGGAATAGATTTAAATAATCCAATCATGTGGCCACTTGTTGGAGAGGTATGTTCATTAGCTTTCATTATTTTAGTTAGTAGATTCGGGTCTTGAAACCGGTTTCGTCCTCCAATAAAAAAATATTTTCCCGGAATCTGGGTAAAAATATCTACCTGTAGAACAAAATCCGACAGCTTTTACTAATCTAGAGTTGTTTCTCAGTCGGTTGTGCCAACGGACTCCCATTAATTGGGGCATTTATAGACTTTTGGACGATTTTTTAAAAAACCGGTTCCAAAAAATTAATCATTTCGGTACAACTCCGGAACAGTTTTAAATAACCCAATCATGTGACCACTTGTTGGATAGGTATTTTTATAAGCTTTCATTAACGGTTTAGTAGGTTCGTCCCACAAAAAAAAAAAATTTTCCCAGAATCAGAGGAAGGTATTTTTAGCTTCCTCTAGAAAAAAAAATCGAAAGCTTTTTTTTACCAATCTAGAGTTGTTCCTCAGTCGGTTTTGCCAACGGACTCCCATGAATGGGGCATTTATTGACTTTTGGAGGATTTAAAAAAAAACCGGTTCCAAAAAATCAATAATTTCGATACATCTTCGGAATTGTTTTCAATAACCCAATCATGTGGCCACTTGTTGGATAGGCATGTTCATTAGCTATCATTACTCCAGACAGTAGGTTCGGGTCTTGGAATCGGGTTCGTCCCCCAATAAAAAATATTTTCCCACAATCAGGCTAAAAATACCTTCCTCTAGAAAAAAAAATCGAAAGCTTTTTTTTACCAATCTAGAGTTGTTCCTCAGTCGGTTTTGCCAACAGACGTATACCCTCAGCCTATGTTCGTTTACTAAAATATATATCTTGACATGTGTTGTAGAGAGAAAATCTCATGCCCCGACCGAAAGAGCATAAAATTTAGAAAAACTAAACATAATCGGCTCGTCCGGTTTCAAAAATGCATCTCTGGATGCAAGAAAGATAATAACACATATTGTAGCATTTCGGAAAGCTTATGGTGTCAGCAATAATTAAGTATAATTTTTGTGGGCTCTCCAAATGGGACCTTTTTTTGATTTTTGGGGGATTTTTTAAAAAAAAGAAAAACCGGGCCAAAAAATTCTATAATTTCGATACAAATACCGAACAGTTTTATGTTTCAACCTAGAAAGATAATAACACACATTGTAGCATTTTGGAAATCGTATGGTGTCAACAGTAATTTTGCATAAATTTTGTGGGCACCCAAAATGGGGTCTTTTTTGAGTTTCAGGGGATTTTTAAAAAAATCCCGGGCCAAAAAATCAGTAATTTCGACACAAATCCCGAACAGTTTTAAAGAACCCCATCATGTGACCGCTTGTTGGATAGGTATTTTCATTAGATTTCATTAGTCCATATGGGTTTATTAGGTCCTGGTCTTACCCGGATCTTGGACCCGGATTTTTTAGTCAAATATCCGGATATCCGGGTTCATCCCCCAATAAAAAAAATATTTTCCCGGAATCAGGGTAAAAATACCTACCTCTCGAAAAAATATCCTAGAGTTTTTACTAATCCAGAGTTGTTCTTCATTCGCCTTTTCCGACAAATGTATACTTTCAGCCAATGTTCGATAATTTAAATATATTTTGACAAATTGTTGACCTTCTATTCAGTAGGTTCCGAAGGAATGTCCTAATATTGTCCATTTCTTATCGGACCTAAATAAATATGATATAAATATTGCGACGTGTCAGGTTCGGACGATATTGGCTACTTCCTTCAACAGGTAATGACAGATAAAAATATTAAAAATTGTGACCCTTTGTGGGTGTGGTACCCGAAGGGGCGAGTCGATGTCTATCATCTTCACGACAGATCTTGTGTTAGAAGAAAAATTATCGAGTACGAAATTTGAAGAGAATCGGATGCTTATTTCGGATTTTATGATCAATTTGGATATTCAAAATTTTGACTACTTTGTGGGGAGGTACAAATGGTTCGATCTCTACCATCTTTATAGCAGATCTTGTGGTGATGGAAATATTGAGATGTACAAAGTCTGAATGGAGTCGGATGTTAATTTGGCGTTTTATGAGCTTCATGAATATTCAAAATTTTGACCTTTTGTCGGTGAGATACCGGAAGGAGAGGACCGATGTATCCCATAATCATAGCAGATTTTTTGATGATAGAAATAATGAGATGTGTGAAATATGAAAAGAAACGGATGCTTATTTCGGATTTTATAATCGTTTTTGTAATTTGAAACTTTGACCCTTGTGGGGGAGGTACCAGAAGAAAAGGTCCGATCTCTACCATCTTTATAACAGATCATGTGTTGATAGAAATATTGCAATGTGCCACACCTGAATGGAGTCGGATGCTAATTCCTAATGTAATAAGTGTTTTTGGTTTTTCAAAATTTTGACCCGTTGTGGCGGAGGTACCAGAAGGTGTGGTCCGATATACCCCGTCTTCACGGCAGATCTTGTCCCCATAAAAATATTTTGATGTGGAAATTTTGAAGAGAATCGGATGCTCATTTCGCATTTTATAAACATTTTGGTTATTCAAAATTTTAACTCCTTTGTGGGGGAGTTATCAGAAGATGTGGACCGATATATTCCATCTTCTCATCAGATCTTGTGTTGGAGGAAATATTAGGATGTGCCGAATTTAAAAGGATTCCGATGATTATTTTGCATTTTAGGAGAGTTTTAATTATTCAAAATTTTGACCCGTTGTAGGGGAGGTAACAGAAGGACCGATCCGATCTGTACCATTTTAATACCAGATTTTGTATTGATGGAAATATTGACATGTTGTAAGTCTGTATAGAATCGAATGTTAATTTCGCGTTTTATGAGCTTCATGATTATTCAAAATTTTTAACCTCTTTGTGGGGGAGGTATCAGAAGGTGTGGACCGATATATTCCATTTTCACTCCAGATCTTGTGTTGGAAAAAATATTGGCATTTGAGAAATTTGAAGATAATCGGACACTTACATCACATTTTACAAATGCTATATGATATTCAAAATTTTGACCCTTTGTGGGGGAGGTGCTGGATGAAGTGGACCGATATTTTCCATTTTCGCACCCAACCTAGTACTGATGCAAATATTAGGATTTGCAAAGTCGGAGCAAAATAGGATTATCCTTTCTCTTTCTGTGCAAAAAATATATTTTTTGCAAATTTCGGCCTTTTGTGGGGGAGGTACCAGAAGGAGTGGAAAATTCAAGCGTGATGGTGTGATTTCTGGCTATTGTTAGAGCACTCCAGCATTTAAATGTAAATAAATCTGGTACTGGTAGCGTAGCCCGACGTCAAGGATGTGGAAGTTGACGGAAGAAAACAGCAACATCAGCAGAAATGGTTCGAAAAATAAAGAAGCGACTTGATCGAAACCCGTATCGCAGTGGCAGTCGCGAAAAATGGCTCGTCAGCTAAACATATCACAATATTCCATTCGGCAAATATCGAAAAATGAGTTCGGGGTAAAGCAATTGAAATTTCAAATTGAAATTCAAGAACTTACACCGCAACTGAAAGAAAATAGACTCAAAAGAGCTAAAGACTTGCCTCGCTTAGCCGAAAGTGGTGAACTGCCGAATTTGGTTTTCTCTCTCTCTCTCAGCAGTTTGTAAACAAACAAAATGGTTGTGCTTACTTGCCAAAGAGGTCAGCTGAAAATGTGCAACTTCGGTTGGCCTTGCCACCAGAACTCAAGCGCCGACCATGGTGATAGTGTGGGCCGCCATAACTGCAGATGATCGCTCTCCGCTCGTATTAATTGACCCGTGGCATCAGAATAAATGCCGAATATTATTGCGAAAATATTCTGGAGGGTGTATTAAAGCCTTGGGCATGAAAATATTTTGGCCGCAGTCCAAGAAAGGTTACAAAATGAGGATCCTCGCTGCATTTCCAGCGCACAATGGCCACCTAAATCTCCGGATACTAATCCGTTGGACTATTGTGTCTGAAGTATTTTGGAGAGCAAGGTTGGCACTAAAAAATACCAAAGTGTCGATCACCTCAAGCAAGCGCTTCGCCGGGAAAATACCGCAGAGCAACATTCGGGCAGCTTGTGACGGTTTCATTGGCCGTTCGAAGGCCATAATTCGTGCCAAAGGTGACCAATTCGAATAAATCTAAACTTATTCTAAAATCTGATGCTATTTCCGACATTTTTTGCTTTCATTCAATAAAATTTTTTTAAAAAATTTTAAAAATTAAGGCATTTGACTTTGTTGCAGTTTTTTTGTCTCATCCTGTATACCCTCTGGCTGAGGGTATAAAAAATGCTAAAATGATGTGTATAATCCCATTTATTTAAATTTAATCCCATTTATTATTTCAGCCATGTTAAGAAACTCTTTCTCGTCTTTTGTTCCGCCAAAGCCAAACTTGAACTCATTACGCTTCGCTTGGCCTTATTACAGATTGCAAATACGGTTATCAATTGTATTTAAGCAAATATTTATTTAAAAAAATGGAATTCCAAAAATCGTCATTCAGACAAAATGAAACCGTTTTTGACATTGTTATTCAAATTTGTTCGGTAAAATTGTGGGCAGGTGTTTTGAAACGGAAAGACAAACAGTTCAATGAACGGATGTAGACAAAAAAAAAAAAAAACAAAGAAATAATAAAATGTCAATACCGTTTGGGTAATGGGTACGAAAGTTTAAGCCAATTTGTTGTCAACATTTTTTAAAAATTTTGAAATAAATAAATTTTGAAATAAAAAAAAATGAATTGAAATAAAAAATTAAATTCTGTTACGATTTTCTCTCTCTCTCTCTCATTGCAGCCCATTTTATTTACACCCACTCACAACTACTAACACACACTACTCACAATGACCGTTGAAGCTCTCTACAATCGTCCCGGTCCCAATCGCCTCGTACAGTGTGATGTCTACAGGACGACAGATGTGACGCAAGCCGTCAAGTTGCGAATTGCCAAGGATGGTTTGGGTGCCGAAGAGCCCATTTCCATTCCCGGTCTGTTGAAACGTACCGTCAACAATTATCCCGATTTTCCTGCCTTGAGGACCAAGAATGCCAAAAAGGAATATACCACGGTGACTTATAGGTGAGTGGGTTTGAAAAAATTAAAAAAAATATTGGTGTAATAACTTCTCTCTTTCTCTTTCTCTCTCCCTCTCTCTCTCTTTATCTTCGATGACAGACAATATGAACAAAAAGTCCACCAGGTGGCCAAGGCTTTCATGAAGTTGGGCCTGGAACCCCATAATGCTGTCGGTGTTTTGGCCTTCAACTGTGCCGAATGGTTCTACTCGGCCATGGGCGCCATTCATGCTGGCGGTGTCATTGCCGGCATCTACACCACCAATTCGCCCGAAGCCTGCATGCATGTCCTTGAGGACTCACATGCCCAAATTGTTGTGGTCGATGATGCCAAACAAATGGAAAAAATCCATGCCATCAAAGATAAATTGCCCAACTTAAAGGCAGCCATTCAAATCCAGGAGCCCTATGCTCCATTCATGAAAAAGGAGGATGGCTATTACAGAGTAAGTGATTTTTGGTCAAACTTCAAATGAACTTCAGGATATTTTATTTACCCTCCTCCTCCCCCCCACTTCCCCCCTCCCCCCTTTCTTGCAGTGGTCCGAAATTGAAGCCATGAATGTTGCTGATATGGAAGATGAATTCAAGAAACGTTTGGAAAATATTGCCATCAATCAATGCTGCTGCCTGGTGTACACTGTAAGTTCTCCTCTTCACATCTTCATTTTTTTTTTCGTAACTGCGGGACATCCATTTCATGTGATTTATTCCCATTTGGCAATTCATTTCAAAAAGTTCCTCAATTCATTGCGGATTTTTTTTTTCATCTTTCTCTATTCTCTCTTCACTCCTCCTCCTCCTTTAGTCCGGCACCGTGGGCATGCCAAAGGGTGTCATGCTTAGCCACGATAATATCACCTATGATTGCCGTGCCATCACCAAATCATTGGAACGTGTTGTCGTTGGCTCTGAAGTCTTGGTCTCCTATTTGCCATTGTCGCATGTGGCTGCCCAGACGGTCGATATCTATACCATGTGTTCGATTGCCGGTTGCATCTATTTTGCCGACAAGGATGCCTTGAAAGGTACTTTGGTCAAATCATTGCAAGATGCTCGTCCAACGAGATTTATGGGTGTACCACGTGTCTATGAGAAATTCCAAGAACGCATGGTGGCCGTTTCATCGTCCAGTGGTAGCATGAAGAAAATGTTGGCCAGCTGGGCCAAGGGTGTCACATTGAAGCATTACATGGAGAGTCAGGGGTGAGTATTTTTTTTTTTATTTTTCGTTGAATGGAACTGAAATTGTTTTGAGAAATCAATAAATATTTGGTAATTGGAGATAAGTTAGGGGGAGGGGGGAGAAGAGGGGATTTGATATAGGGAAACAAAAGGAAAAAAAGGAGAGGACCGGGGCTTTATGCATATGAAACATAGGGATTATTAAAAGACCAGCTGAAGCAGAGGTTTATAGACCAGCGGGAGCGAGTCTCTATAGATCAGCGGGAGCTGATCTATAGAGACCAGCAGGAGCTGGCTTCCATAGGCCAGCTGGAGAGCTGGCTTCCATAGGCCAGCTGGAGAGCTGGTCTTCTATAGAGCAGCTGGAGAGCTGGTCTTCTATAGAGCAGCTGGAGAGCTGGTCTTCTATAGAGCAGCTGGAGAGCTGGTCTTCTATAGAGCAGCTGGAGAGCTGGTCTTCTATAGACCAGCTGGAGAGCTGGTCTTTTCCATAGACCAGCTGGAGAGCTGGTCTTTTCCATAGACCAGCTGGAGAGCTGGTCTTCTATAGAACAGCAGCTAGAGAGCTGGTCTTCTATAGAACAGCAGCTGGAGAGCTGGTCTTCTATAGAAGAGCAGCTGGAGAGCTGGTGTTCCATAGAACAGCAGCTGGAGAGCTGGTGTTCCATAGAACAGCAGCTGGAGAGCTGGTGTTCCATAGAACAGCAGCTGGAGAGCTGGTGTTCCATAGAACAGCAGCTGGAGAGCTGGTGTTCCATAGAACAGCAGCTGGAGAGCTGGTGTTCCATAGAACAACAGCTGGAGAGCTGGTCTTCTATATACCAGCTGGAGAGCTGGTCTTCTATAGACCAGCTGGAGAGCTGGTCTTCCATAGACCAGCTGGAGAGCAGCTGGTCTTCTATAGACCAGCTGGAGAGCAGCTGGTATTCTATAGACCAGCTGGAGAGCAGCTGGTATTCTATAGACCAGCTGGAGAGCAGCTGGTATTCTATAGACCAGCTGGAGAGCAGCTGGTATTCTATAGACCAGCTGGAGAGTAGCTGGTATTCTATAGACCAGCTGGAGAGTAGCTGGTATTCTATAGACCAGCTGGAGAGCATCTGTAATTCTATAGACCAGGTGGAGAGCAGCTGGTATTCTATAGACCAGCTGGAGAGCAGCTGGTCTTTTTCATAGACCAGCTGGAGAGCTGGTCTTTTCCATAGACCAGCTGGAGAGCTGGTCTCCTATATACCAGCTTAAGGCGAGATCTTCAATAGACGAGCTTAAGCCAAGGTCTTGTATATACCACCAGAAGCAGGGGTCTCTATAGACCAACTGAAGTCTGGTCTTCTTTAGACAAGCTTGGTGCTGATCTTCTATAGACCAGCTTAAGCCGGTCTTCCATACACCAGCTCTGATGTCGGAGTCTTCTTATACCAGCTCTAAAGCCGGGGTCACTACAGAAAGCTGAAGACGGGGTAACGGTCTTTTAGACCAGGTGAAGCCATGGTCTTTATAGAATAGGTTAAGCCGGTCTTCTGTAGACCAGCTGAGTCCGGCGACTCTATATACCAGCTCTGAAGTCGGTTTCTATAGTCTCTAGGCGAGCTGAAGATGGTCGTCTCTCCACACAAGCGGAAGGGAGCCTCTCTAGGCGAGCTGAAGGTCGCCTTTCTAGGTGAGTTATAGGTCGTCATTCTAGGCGAGCTAAAGCCTGGGTCTCTCAAGGAGAGCTGAAGGTCGTTTTTCTAGGCCAGATAAATATCGTCTCTAGACAAATCAAAGTTCGTCTCTAGGGGAGTCAAAGGTCGTCTCTTCAGACGAGTCAAATGTCGTCTCTTCAGACGAGCCAAATGTCTCTTTAGACGAGCTGAAAGCAGCCTCTATAGGACCAGCTGAAGCCGGTTCTATAGGTTCTCCGGGTTCTCTTAGGGAGCTGACGACCTTAAAACATCCTCCCTAATGGACTATTTTTCAAGTGAAAGTTCTCAGGCTATTATAATACAAGGTATCACCAGGTTAAACCTCTATGTGTGTGTGTTTGTTTGTGAATTCAATTTATCCTTGCTGCACAGCAACACTACCAAGGACATACTTCGTTGTGTTTGGGAAACTCCTATGGAATTTTAATGGGAACATCAGAGGAATTCCTTTTAGCTCTTCCACACACACACACACTCACACATTCAAAATACATAGTTTATGGAAATAGTTTCGGAGAGAAAACTCAAGCCGAGGAAGATGTAAATTTTTCCATGTTTCCCACAAAGCTGGGGAAGTTTAAATCGGAATACCACCGCACCACCACCACACAAACTTCCATCTCCGCAGCAAATAGTTAGCTGCACTTAGCTAGCAGTTACCTCTAAACGAAGTTCGTGACATTTCAGTAAACTGCAAATGACACGTGGTAGGTGGAGGCATGTCGTCCAGCTGGCTTTAAGATGTATGAGAGCAGCTCCATATGCAGTGATGTAGCGGAGTAGTAGAGGGCATCCAGAACTTCCCTGGCTGTGGTTTTTTTTTCCTGGAGAGTTCAAAGAAGATATTTGTATATCCTTCAGATGGCTCGACACAGCATAACCAACCATCGTCATTTGCATATGACAGCTGATGTTCATGTTGCGGTTTTAAATTGCTCTCTTTACTTTCGGTGTGTTTGTTGCTTTTACAGTTATTGCTGCTAGCCGCAACGTCCATGGCTTTCTTGCGGAGTAGATAGTCAGATAGTCATATACATATAAAATTTAGATGAGCATTTTGGATATTTTCTGCCAAACATTTGAGGTTTTAAGGCGAGGTTGATGGAAGGAGCAAGAGGAGGAGTATCTCTACAAGAACAGAGAGAAGCCAATATCTTCGATTAGTTTGATTGGGCGCCATTTGATAGATTTGCGATTATTTTTGAGGATTGTGGATCATTTGTTTGATTGGGCGCCATTTTTAAACCTTTTGAAGAACCCTTGGAGATCTAATCAGATTTTTTCATATACCGCTAGAAAGACTTCTAGGATAAAATAATGCCTCATAACTTCCTCATACTTCGTGATTTTGCAGAATCATTCTGGACCAGAAACTAATTTTTAAACTAATATTTAATTGCCTCTTCATTTCCAGCAAAAATGGCGGCTTCCGTTACAAGATTGCCAAATCGTTGGTCATGTCCAAGGTCAAACAAGCCTTGGGTTTGGATCGTGTCATTACATTGGTCAGTGCTGCCGCTCCCATGTCCCCAGAAACCAAAAAATATTTCCTCAGTTTGGATATGAAAATTTTGGATGCTTTCGGTATGTCTGAGACAGCCGGTTGCCATTCGCTGTGCTTGCCCGATACCACACAATTGACCTCCATTGGCAAGACATTGGGTGGCTGTGAAACCAAAATCATCAACAAGGATGACAATGGTCATGGCGAGGTGAGTAAATTGATAAAAAAATCACAAGAATATACAAATATAGGTAAAAAGGCAAGGGGCTATTGAGGGAAAGAACAATGTGTAATTTATGGAGGTAAGATAGCCAAGGGTTGTCTTCAAAGGTCCTTGAATTTTTTTTTAAAAAAATCCACATTTCTTGCCTTAAAGGTCCTTGAAAAAATATTCTTTAAAAAATCACGTTAGTGTCCTTAAAGGTCCTTGGAAAAAACTCTTAAATAAAATCCACGTTTCTTGGTCTGATGGTCCTTGGGAAAAAATGCTTTAAAAAATCCACGTTAGTGTCCTTAAAGGTCCTTGGAAAAATATTCTTTAAAAAATCCACGTATCTTCAACTGATGGTCCTTGGAAAAATATTCTTTAAAAAATCTGATGGTCCTTGGTCTGATGGTCCTTGAAAAAATATTCTTTAAAAAATCCACGTTTCTTGCCTCAAAGGTCCTTGAAAAGAAATTATTTAAAAAATCCACGTTTCTTGCCTCAAAGGTCCTTGGAAAAAAATTCTTTACAAAAATCCTTGGAAAAAAATTCTTTAAAAAATCCACGTTTGTTGCCTTAAAGGTCCTTGGAAAAAAATTCTTTAAAAAATCCACGTTTGTTGCCTTAAAGGTCCTTGGAAAAAAATTCTTTAAAAAATCCACGTTTGTTGCCTTAAAGGTCCTTGGAAAAAAATTCTTTAAAAAATCCACGTTTGTTGCCTTAAAGGTCCTTGGAAAAAAATTCTTTAAAAAATCCACGTTTGTTGCCTTAAAGGTCCTTGGAAAAAAATTCTTTAAAAAATCCACGTTTGTTGCCTTAAAGGTCCTTGGAAAAAAATTCTTTAAAAAATCCACGTTTGTTGCCTTAAAGGTCCTTGGAAAAAAATTCTTTAAAAAATCCACGTTTGTTGCCTTAAAGGTCCTTGGAAAAAAATTCTTTAAAAAATCCACGTTTGTTGCCTTAAAGGTCCTTGGAAAAAAATTCTTTAAAAAATCCACGTTTGTTGCCTTAAAGGTCCTTGGAAAAAAATTCTTTAAAAAATCCACGTTTGTTGCCTTAAAGGTCCTTGGAAAAAAATTCTTTAAAAAATCCACGTTTGTTGCCTTAAAGATCCTTGGAAAAAAATTCTTTACAAAAATCCTTGGAAAAAAATTCTTTAAAAAATCCACGTTTGTTGCCTTAAAGGTCCTTGGAAAAAAATTCTTTAAAAAATCCACGTTTGTTGCCTTAAAGGTCCTTGGAAAAAAATTCTTTAAAAAATCCACGTTTGTTGCCTTAAAGGTCCTTGGAAAAAAATTCTTTAAAAAATCCACGTTTGTTGCCTTAAAGGTCCTTGGAAAAAAATTCTTTAAAAAATCCACGTTTGTTGCCTTAAAGGTCCTTGGAAAAAAATTCTTTAAAAAATCCACGTTTGTTGCCTTAAAGGTCCTTGGAAAAAAATTCTTTAAAAAATCCACGTTTGTTGCCTTAAAGGTCCTTGGAAAAAAATTCTTTAAAAAATCCACGTTTGTTGCCTTAAAGGTCCTTGGAAAAAAATTCTTTAAAAAATCCACGTTTGTTGCCTTAAAGGTCCTTGGAAAAAAATTCTTTAAAAAATCCACGTTTGTTGCCTTAAAGGTCCTTGGAAAAAAATTCTTTAAAAAATCCACGTTTGTTGCCTTAAAGGTCCTTGGAAAAAAATTCTTTAAAAAATCCACGTTTGTTGCCTTAAAGGTCCTTGGAAAAAAATTCTTTAAAAAATCCACGTTTGTTGCCTTAAAGGTCCTTGGAAAAAATTGTTTAAAAAATCCACGTTTGTTGCCTTAAAGGTCCTTGGAAAAAAATTCTTTAAAAAATCCACGTTTGTTGCCTTAAAGGTCCTTGGAAAAAATTGTTTAAAAAATCCACGTTTGTTGCCTTAAAGGTCCTTGGAAAAAAATTCTTTAAAAAATCCACGTTTGTTGCCTTAAAGGTCCTTGGAAAAAAATTCTTTAAAAAATCCACGTTTCTTGCCTTAAAGGTCCTTGGAAAAAATTCTTTAAAAAATCCACGTTTCTTGCCTTAAAGGCCCTTGGAAAAAATTCTTTAAAAAATCCACGTTTCTTGCCTTAAAGGTCCTTGGAAAAAAATTCTTTAAAAAATCCACGTTTCTTGCCTTAAAGGTCCTTGGAAAAAAATTCTTTAAAAAATTCACGTTTGTTGCCTTAAAGGTCCTTGGAAAAAAATTCTTAAAAAAATCCACGTTTGTTGCCTTAAAGGTCCTTGGAAAAAAAATTCTTTAAAAAATCCACGTTTGTTGCCTTAAAGGTCCTTGGAAAAAAATTCTTTAAAAATCCACGTTTGTTGCCTTAAAGGTCCTTGGAAAAAAATTCTTTAAAAAATCCACGTTTGTTGCCTTAAAGGTCCTTGGAAAAAAATTCTTAAAAAAATACACGTTTGTTGCCTTAAAGGTCCTTGGAAAAAATTCTTTAAAAAATCCACGTTTGTTGCCTTAAAGGTCCTTGGAAAAAAATTCTTTAAAGAATCCACGTTTGCTGCCTTAAAGGTCCTTGGAAAAAAATTCTTTAAAAAATCCACGTTTCTTGCCTTAAAGGTCCTTGGAAAAATATTCTTTAAAAAATCCACGTTTCTTGGTCTGATGGTCCTTGAAAAAATATTCTTTAAAAAATCCACGTTTATTGCCTTAAAGGTCCTTGGAAAAAAATCTTTAAAAAAATCCACGTTTCTTGCCCTAAAGGTCCTTGAAAAAATATTCTTTAAAAAATCCACGTTTCTGATGGTCCTTGAAAAAATATTCTTTAAAAAATACACGTTTCTGATGGTCCTTGAAAAAATATTCTTTAAAAAATCCACGTTTCTGATGGTCCTTGAAAAAATATTCTTAAAAAATCAACGTTTCTGATGGTCCTTGAAAAAATATTCCTTAAAAAAAACACGTTTAGGGTCCTGGAAAAAATATTCTTTAACAATATTTCCCCTCTTTTTCTCTCCTTAGATCTGCATTCGTGGTCGCCACGTCTTCATGGGCTACATCAATAACAAGGAAAAGACCGAAGAGGCTTTGGATGATGAATGCTGGTTGCACTCCGGCGATGTGGGTTATGTCGATGACAAGGGTTATGTCTACATTACTGGCCGTTCCAAGGAAATCATCATCACGGCCGGTGGTGAAAATATTCCTCCCGTACACATTGAAAACTTGATCAAGAAGGAATGTGATGGTCTGTCCAATGCCTTCCTGGTTGGTGAACAACGTAAATATTTGACTGTGTTGGTGACAATTAAGGTGAGTTGTGGTCAAGAGAAATGAGGACGGGATTATTTAATAATTTTCAATTTTTTTGCCCACAGACCGAAATGGACAAGGATACCGGTGCTCCTTTGGATGAACTGACCCACGAGTCCCTGATGTGGATGAAATCTTTGGGTGTCAATCACAAGACCCTCAGCGACATCCTGAATGCCGGCCCCTGTCCCAAGGTGTTCAAATCCATCGAAGATGCCATTAAGCGCGCCAACAAACATTCCATTTCCAATGCCCAGAAGGTACAGAAATTCACCATCTTGCCACATGACTTCTCCATTCCAACCGGTGAGCTGGGACCCACTTTGAAGGTCAAACGTAATGTTGTCAACAAGCAATACGAAGATGTCATTGAGAAAATGTATGCCTAAGAGAGGCATAAGAAATACTGTGTATAGCTTCCCGTCCCTCCCTTAGCAAAAAAAAACAAAGTCCCCTCCCCCAAATTTTGGTTGCCAAAGAAAATATTTTTCTTGGGCCGCCAAGAAATAGAAAAAAAAACAACAACAACAACAACAACAAGAATTTGATTTTAAAACCAAAAAACCAAACGCCGGACATGGGTCTGGTATTTATTATTTATTACATAATTTTTTTTGACTATATAAATAAATATAAATATATATAATATAATTGTTATTAATTTTTGTATGAAATTGTTATGGATTTTTATACAGTCGTAATTAATTATAAATTAAAAAAAAAATGTTAATTAAATGAAATTTTGTTATTGATGAATTTACCAAAAAAATGAGAAGAGAAGAGAGAAAATGTAGAAATGTAAAGAACATCCTTCGAGGATGGTAAAAAATTCCGCCCGTTTAATGCCCTAATCACCCAAACACCAATACCAGCTTACCTTACACATTACCCAGAGTTGTGTGGTAATCACTGATTCCTTAGCCATGAAGACTTGTACCTCTCTTGTGAATAGGCTTAGTTAATTTCCTTTCCTTTTATTTTTGTTTTGCTCCATGATTTTAATTTTAAGTATATTACTTGGATATAGAAAAAAAAACAAATGTGTTTATTTTTTTGTTAAAAATAAAAACATTGAAATATAAAATTTTAATAAAAATTAAAACGAGTATTTTATTTTTAAAATTATTATGTCTGCTGGTACCCAAAAAATGTCTGAAATATATCAGAATTTAGCAAATTTCTTTATAAATAAATCGAAAAATTAATATTTTAACTTGAATTTCTCCAATTTCTTGGACGTTTTCGCCATGAAGGAAAGGATTTCGACAAAAACTGATAGTGGCGGAATTATACCTTAATAGGTCCTCATTGTATTTTCATAAAAAATAAAAATCTTAAAATTAATTGAAAGCTCGAACACCCTATCTTCAAATGTAATGTTAAAAATATATCAAAACATGGTATTTTCTAGATTCATGCGAATACGTTTACGTTCGTTACATGATGAAGGGAAGCAGTGAGGTACTAACTTATGGGGAACGAAATGTTGCTTAAGCTGTCCCCTTTATTTGCCAACAGCAACAAAAAAATCTTAAAATTATTTTACGCGCTCGAAACCACATTTTCAAAACAAAACTTTTTTAAGTAAATCGAAAAATTAATATTTTAACTTGAATTTCTCCAATTTCTTGGACGTTTTCGCCATGAAGGAAGGGATTTCGACAAAAACTGATAATGGCGGAATTATACCTTAATAGATCCTTATTGTATTTTCACATAAAATAAAAATCTTAAAATTAATTAAAAGCTCAAAAACCCTATCTTCAAATGCAAAGTGTAAACATATATCGAAAAAATGGTATATTCTAGGGAATAATTGCTTCATATTCGTTGGGAGATTTAGATGAAGAAGGAAATGAGGGAGGGGGTAACTTATAAGGAATGAAATTAAGCTTAAGCCCTTCCCTTAATTTCCAATAACAACAACAAAATCTTAAAATTATTTTAATCGCTCAAAACCACATTTCCAAAACAAAACTTTCTAAATATATCGAAAAATTAATATTTTCACTCGAATTCCTCCAATTTCTTGGACGTTTTCGGCATCAATAAAAGGATGTCGATAAAAAATTATAATGGAGGAAGTATATCGTAATAGGTACTTATTGTAAGTTCGGAAAAAATAAAAATCTTAAAATTAATTGAAAGCTCAAAAACCCTATCTTCAAATATAATGTGTAAAATATATATAAAAAAATTATATTTTCTAGAATCTAGGGAATAAATCCTTTACATTCGATGAGAGATTTACATGATGAAGGAAAGAAGGGAGGTGATAACTTGTAGGGAATGAAATTAAGCTCAAGCTGTCCCCTTTATTTGCCAATAACAACAAAAAATCTTAAAATTATTTTACGAGCTCAAAACCACGTTTCTACAACAAAACTTTTTTATGTATATCGGAAAATGATATTTTCCATTAATTTCTTCCAATTGCTCGGGTGTTTTTGCCATGAAGGAGAGGATATCGATAATAACTTATACTGGCGGAAATATACCTTAATAGGTCCTTATTGCATTTCCAGAAAAAATAAAAATCTAAAAATTAAATGAAGGCTCGAACACCTTATCTTCAAATATATCAAAAAATGGTATTTTCTAGAATCTAGGGAGTAAATGCTTTACATTCGTTGGGAGATTTACATAATGAAGGAAAGAAGTGAGGTGATAACTTATAAGCGTCGAAATGTAGCTTAAGCTGTCCCCTTTTCTGGCCAATAACAACAAAAAATCTTAAAATTATTTTAATCGCTCAAAACCATCTAAAAATTAAATGAAGGCTCGAACACCTTATCTTCAAATATATCAAAAAATGGTATTTTCTAGATTCTAGGGAATAAATGCTTTACATTCGTTGAGAGATTTACATGATGAAGGAAAAAAGTGAGGTGATAACTTATAAGCGTCGAAATGTAGCTTAAGCTGTCCCCTTTGCTGGCCAATAACAAGAAAAAATCTTAAAATTATTTTAATCGCTCAAAACCACATCTACAAAAACAAAACTTTTTTAAGTACCTCCGAAAATACAATTTTCAATGGAATTCTCCCAATTACTCGAACGTTTTTGCTATGAAGGAAAGGATATCGATAATAACATATAATAGCGGAAATATACCTTAATAGGTCTTTATTGTATTTTCACAAAAAATAAAAATCTTAAAATTAATTAAAAGCTCGAACACCCTATCTTCAAATGTAGTGCTTAAAACTATATCAAAAAATGGTATTTTCTAGATTCTAGGGAATTAATACTTTACATTCGTTGAGAGATTTACACAATGAAGGAAAGAAGTCAGATGATAACTTTTAAGGGACCAAGTTAAGCTTAAGCCGTCCCCTTTCTTTGCCAACAACAATAAAAAATCTAAAAATTATTTTAATCGCTCAAAACCACATTTGCAAAAACAAAACTTTTTTAAGTACCTTGGAAATACCATATTCAATGGAATTCTCCCAATTGCTCGGGCAGTTTTTGCCATTAAGGAGAGGATATCGATAATAACTTATATATATACCTTATAGGGTCCTTATTAGGTCCTTATTGTATTTTCAAAAAAAAAAAATAAATAAATAAAAATCTTAAAATTAATTGAAAGCTCGAACAGCCTATCCTCAAATGCAAAGTGTAAACATATATCAAAAATGGCATTTTCTAGATTCTAGGGAATAAGTGCTTTACATTCGAAGAGATTTACATGATGATGGAAAGAAGGAAGGTGACAACTTATAAGGAACGAAATTAAGACAAAGCTGTCCCCTTTACTGGCAAATAACAACAAAAATTCTTAAAATTATCTTACTCGGTCAAAACCACATTTATCAAAACCAAAACTTTTTTAAGTATCTCGGAAAATACCTTTTTAAATGCAATTCTTCCGATTGCTCGCGCGTTTTCGCCATGAAGGAAAGGATATCGATAATAACCTATAATGGCGGAAATATACCTTAATAGGTCCCTATTATATTTTCAGAATAAATAAAAATCTTAAAATTAATTGAAAGCTCAAAAACTCTATCTTCAAATGCAAAGTGTAAACATATTAAAAAATGGTATATTCTAGATTCAAGGGAATAATTGCTTTACATTCGTTAAGAGATTTACATGATGATGCAGGGAAGGGAGAAGGTAACTTATAAGGGACGAAATGTAGCTTATGCCGTCCCCTTTATTTGCCAAAAAAATCTTAAAATTATTTTAATCGCTCAAAACCACATTTATTTAAACCTAATTTTTTTAAGAATATCGGAAAAAATATTTTCAATGGAATTCTTTCAATTGCTCGGACAGTTTTTGTCATTAAGGAGAGGATATCGATAGTAACTTATAATGGCGGAATTATACCTTAATAGGTCCTTATTGTATTTTTACAAAAAATAAAAATCTTAAAATTTAATCTTCAAATCTTCAAATGTAATGTGTAAAAATATATAAAAATATTGTATTTTCTAGATTCTTGCGAATAAATGCTTTATATTCGATGACAGATTTACATGATGAAGGAAAGAAGGGAGATGATAACATATAGGGGACGAAATGTAGCATATGCCGTCCCCTTTATTTGCGAACAAAATAAAAAATCTTAAATTTATTTTACTCGCTCAAAACCACATTTCCAAAACAAAACATTTGTAGTATATCGAAAAACTAATATTTTCAATGGGATTCTACCAATTACTCGGACGTTTTTGCCATGAAGGAATGGATTTCGACAAAAACTGATAACGGCGGAAATATACCATAAGTCTTTATTTTATTTTCAGAAAAAATAAAAATCTTAAAATAATGGAAAGTTCGAATACCCTATCTTCAAATGCAATGTGTAAAAATATATAAAAAATGGTATTTTCTATATTGGATCGAAGGAAAGAAGGGAGGGAGTAACTTGTAAGGAACGAAATTAAGCTTAAGCTGTCCTCTTTATTTACTAACAACAACATAAAATCTTAAAATTATTTTACTCGCTCAAAACCACATTTACAAAAACAAAACCTTTTTAATTATATCAAGAAATTATATTTTCAATTTAGTTCTTACATTTGCTTGGACGTTCTTGCCATGAATAAAAGGTTGGCGATACCAGCTTATAATGGAGAAAATATACTTTGGTAGGTCCTTATTGTATATTCAGAAAAAATAAAAATCTTAAAATTAAATGAAGGCTCGAAAACACTATCTTCAAATGTAATGTGTAAAATATAAAAAATTGTATTTTCTAGATTCTTGAGGAATAGCCGAAATATTTTTTTGGATTGAGAAAAGTAATTAGGAGATTACTTCTCTTCGGCCAAATACATATCATTTTCCAACAACAATAAAAAATCTTAAAATTAATTATGCCGCTTAAAACCGTAAACATAACTAAAAAAAAGTTTAAAAAGCATATTTTTTTTTCATGTTTTAAAATTCATGATGAGGTTTCACCAAGAGGGAGAGGGGTAAGGTATTATCTTATAATGGAGAAAATTTGTCCCGAAGGACCCTCTTTGTTTGTCAATAACGGTAAAAAGTCTTAAAATTAATTTCACTTATTGGGGACGAAATATACATAAGTGTCCTTTCTATTAAATTAAAATAAACTTAAAATTTTTTTTGTTATTCCGTGTATTTTTTGAAGGATTCCAGGAATCATGGATTTTTAAAAGGATTCCAGGATCTACTAAAGTCCTTTAAAAGAATCCAGGAGCTTTAAAAGGATTTCAAAATGTAGATTTTTAGAAGGATTTCAAAATCTCTTAAGGGTTATAAAAAAGTGGATTTTTAAAAGAATTCCAGTATCTCTTAAGGGCCTTAAAAACGTGGATTTTTAAAAGGATTCCAGGATCTCTTCAGGGTCTTAAAAACGTGGATTTTTAAAAGAATTCCAGGATCTCTTCAGGGTCTTAAAAACGTGGATTTTTAAAAGAATTCCAGGATCTCTTCAGGGTCTTAAAAACGTGGATTTTTAAAAGAATTCCAGGATCTCTTCGGGGTCTTAAAAACGTGGATTTTTGAAAGAATTCCAGGATCTCTTTA